TCTTTATATTCAAGTCTAATGCAAAACCACGCATCTCATGAAGTATAAAATACATTTAGTTTTAAACGAGCACTACTCAATGTTATTATATAATAACCTATAACTGAAACTTAGTGCCACAGAAGAATGCTTTTAAATGCTCAAAAATTGCCGGTATCGATTTCGAACTCATTTTGTTTTCTAATTTTTTTTATTATAACCGTATTGAATAAATTAATCCCCTTGGTGTTTCACGTAGGAGAACATTATCTACTCGACGTCATATCCGGGTTTTGCTACTGAATGAAGTAATCTTTTAAATATTTCAGATCCCCGAAACAAGTTATGGAATGTTTTCTTAGATTGTCAAGACGATGACCCATTTATTCTTTCCATTGCGTACGTGATTATCTAAAATAAAGAAGAAGTACATGTACGAACAACTGTTCAAACATATGACGTAATAGCATAATTTACTAAAACTTATCCTTAATCAATATCGAATTATCATTTAACGAAATACTTCGGTTTCCACGCAGGAATCTGAAAATAATTGAGTGATTTTGAGTAAAAAGTAGCTTTGAATTTCTTAGTCTACTGGTTGTTATATGATGAAGTTAATATTTTCTAAGCTGCAATATATTGTCCCATTGTAGCGCGTTTATTGCTGGTTTGATTTCAACTATTTATATGTTTGATTTATAATGCCCATTCTGGGTGGATAGAAAAAATCTTCGAGCAATTTTATTTTCTAAATCGTTTCTAATGTTTCTTAATTGGTGGTCACAGTGTGAATCCTTATTTCAAAATATTCCTGTTCATCATAAAAGAAAAGAAAGTGCTTGGCGGCAATTCTGAAATCTGGTTGGGTTTCATAATCTAAATTAATTCTGATCTTGGAAATGGTATCAATTAGATCGCGAGGTTAATTCTAATTTTAAAACAATTTGGTTCGTTACAAAAGAAACTAAAATGTTCAGCTCCAAATTTAATACATGTCTGCATTTGAATTACAATTCTGATCCTGGTGTCGTGATGTGATGCTTGTGATATGCGATACTATACCTGTAATTACAATAATATTGATACCAAAACTTCCATGAGATATGCACAATCAAATGATAAATTTTATTTGTGTAATTCGACGTTTTAAAATCTAATGTTTTCTAAAAGAATAGTAAGCAGAAAAATATTCCAAACTCACATTCAGAAAGACATTTTTTGTCCTTTTTAGCGCTCATTTTGTCTCAAGATAGCGTGATTTTTTGACTAAACGTGAATTTTCAAATTTTTAATGAAATTGTGTCATCATTCGTGTGCTATCTCAGTGTATTCTGAGAGATTTTGTTGTTTATCTGTTACTTAAATGTTAATCTAAAATGTACTAAAACGTACTAAATGTACTATTTTAGAGTAAGTTATCTTTTAAAAAATGTCTAGATTAACGCCAATCCAAGAAAGTTGTAATTTTAATTTCTTTCCTTATGTTATCAAGATTGTTCTTCTAAGATTTTGTTTAAAAAATTTTATTTGAACGACTGGATGCTTCAGGTGTGAGAAAACTTACTTATCAAATACTTTTCTCCATTTCGATTCCTGGTGACGTCTATATACTTTGTCACTATTCATTTTATGTTGTATTTTGATGACAATTATTTTAATTGATTTGTTGTACTAAGATTACACTGTAAAAAATTCCGGTAAAAACTACCGACACCCTCAGCCCCTGTCCGTTGTACCTTTAAATTTATTTTATCGTGAGTTTTTGCTAAACATAAATCAGAGATATCATAATTTTTACTGAAATAATTACTGTAAACTTACTAAATCACTGTAAGTAGAAAAATATTACTCAAAAAATTATGAAATAATATTTTACTGAAAAAAGGGATTTTAGAGATGCTCGACTTAGGGTGGTAGTATATTTTACCGTAATTGTATCCGGAATTTTTTACAGCTTAGTAACTGTAGCAAAATCCGTATCCTCAAACAACTTAAGTTATTTGAAAATTATTCAAAGCTCATAGAAAATTTCCTCCGATTTCTTTCTGTTTTTTAAAAAATAAGAAGAGTTAAAAAATTCCTTCGATACCAATTATTTTCCTATGATTACTAAGAAGTGAATTTGCTTGAGATAAAGTTTCTTCCAACAAAATGTAGAGTATTAGTAGCCACTAAAGCACATTATTATTTTTTTTAAAATAACATTATGCAAATGAAATTTCATTATTTCAAGTCTAATTTTTGAAAGAAATAAGATTTAATCAAAACAATGAAAAAAAATAACAAACAAATATTTATTTAATTCAATAAAACTTCAAAAACTTACTTATCTATAAAATGTAACAATATGAAAATATGTTTTTTTTTTTATAAATGACTTAGATTTCACAGAACATCCATTGCTACTCGATTTGAGTATACATTTTGAGTATTTGTGACAATAAATAGATGATGATGATGATTTAAATAGATTGAAAAGTAAATATAGTTTAGGAACACACATAAATCTGAAATTAATCAAACCCTAATACACTACACTTTTGAATAAATCTATAGATTGTAATGTATAGTAAACATATGTGTTTACCATACATTGCAAATTAATCTAAACATGTATGGTATTGCAATAGTTTATGTATGTACAGTAACATCAACATATATCATGTACAGTGTAAAAAATTCCGGTTCAATAAGGTATAAAAAACCTCCGTAAATTACATTTTTACTGTGAAATATTACACCATAATTTTTACAATAATATTCGTATAATTAGAGTGATTCAGTAATTTTACGGTAAATATTACTGTGAAAATTAAGATATATCAGTTTTTTCTTCCTTAAACTGTTCTGGTAAAAATGTATTTTACGGTGAAAAGTGCAGGTACTTTTTACCGTAATTTGATCGGGAATTTTTTACAGCGTATGAATATATGTGTTTACTACACATGCTAATTATAACACAAAGTTTGACTGTTAGCGTTAATAATCGTAAACATAGATTTGAAGTGGTTAAATAAAAAAAGATATGATTTATTTAAATTATTTTAACTCAAAAAATATTTCATAATAATGAGGAAAGGATGCGTTTGAGAGATTTTAGCTTCAGTTATTTCCAGGCTCAGTTATCCATCAAAAAAAAAAAAAAATGAAAATACAGGTCTTTTGCAAACATCACATACTAACAATGAAAAAAACTAGTTTTTCAATTGATATGTAATCAATCAACAAATGCACAAATACAATGAAAAAATGCTTCCTTTATTATATTTGTGTTTCATTATTTTATTGTAAATCTACTCAATTATGATGAAATGAAAATAAATCTTTAATTTGTTATGACTTATGTGATCGCCATAAATGAATGGGTTTGTTTACTTTGCATTATAAGTGTAATTGTAACGTAATATATTTCCGCATGACACGTGAATATAAGTTTGAATGACCTAATAAAAATGTTAGATTTATTTGAATTATTTTAGCTCAAAGTGTAATAAAAAATATATTTCAAGGAATATTAATTCATTTGGGATTATCTAAAACAACTAAAAAAATTATTTTATCATTCTAAGCATTTTTGGGGCTTTCTCGAACATCTCAAATTAAAAATGGGAAAAATAAGTATTTCTTTATTGGTTCGTTATAAATTAACTTAATCACAAATATAATAAAAAAAAACTGTTTTCCATACGTTAGGGGTATATATTTTTTTCGTACACTGTAAAAAATTCCCGATGAAATTACTGTATAAAGTACAGGTACTTTGGGTACACTATCCATAAAACTCTTTTTACTGTAAAATCCATTTTACCGTAAAACGTATTTTAACTGCAAAATATTATACTTTAATTTTTGATTAATTTTCATTAACAAGAGCGAGTCAGTGATTTTAAGGTAATTATTACAGTAGAAATTACGGTATATGGATTGTGAAAATGGATTTTACGGTGAATGTACCGACACCCTGAGCGCCAGTACTTTTTACCATAATTTGACCCGGAATTTTTTACTGTGTTTATTCATTCGCATTGATATATCTGTTCATTATGAAGCGAAAATAAGTCCTTAAGTTGTCATTCATTGTAAGCACATGGGGTCACTAAAAATGAATATAGGTATCCTTACTTTCCATTCTAACTGTAAAATGTAAAACTTTAAATGTTTTTTTCGTTAAAATAGTAAACGTGCACAGCAAACAAGAAGAACAAATAGAAAAATTAAGATTAATTTAAACTATATTTGCTAAAAATATGTTAGATTATTCTAGGATTTTGAGATGAATGGGAAATTTTAGTTTCAATTATTCCTGGATATAAAACAACTGAAAAAATATACACACAAACATTATCGGGGCTTTTGTGAAAATCATAGAATAACAATATATGTAATAAATCAACAAATCCACTTTTGGGTGCTTTCAGATAATCACGTTGTTTTTTTGAGTCTAATCACGTGGTTGTGCTTGGCGTGTGAACGTTACAGCTTTAAGACTTGGGTTTGATTTGAAACCTGCTAGCGACGCCCCACGCATGCATCAAACCAAATTGGCTCAGCCACGAGTGACATCGCTTGCAGGTATCCAATTTTAGTGAAAAAAAAATGTGAATTGCATACAAAGTCGAATTGTTATAAGTATGCTTTAAAATATCATAGCTCAATTGAAAGAGCAAAGTAAGCATGCAAAAAGAATAAAAAAGCACATGTGAACATACGGTCGTAAACGCTGAGTGGAACAGCTAGATGGGTAATGTAATATAAATGGGCAATATGTAGTTATTTTACATCAGTTGTATTTGACTATATTTCCCCATAGGCGACACATTTACGACCAATATTTAACAGGGGTCATCTATACTTCCATGTTTTCGACCTCATATTCCTGCGACGTCATGCTCTTGAGTGATTTTTTTACTCTTTTTGTATTTGCCATTTCATTTAGGCCAGGATTCCTTGAAGAAGCCTGTATTTAGTTCAAAAAATTTTTTTTTACAAACATACATTTAAAAATAAAAAAATAGGCAGAATATTAAAGCGATTTAGGTTTGTGTGAAATTTACAATAAAAAATTTATATGGCAGACACATGATGGCTTTTTAGTAGTTATGACTTCCTCTGCTTTGATGCTTAGTCTATGAATTTAAATAATGCTATTTTAATTTTTTCTTCAAGTTTAAGTCTGTTGAACTTTGCAATAACAATATAATTTAAGTTTTTGGCTATTTATACACCATGAAGTTTTTCCATACATGTTAATTCGGCTTATACCCATAACTTTAAATGCTGAATGTTCAGCGTCATATCGCACTGTTCCTTCGAATATGGCACCACCAGGCTTCACCGTAAGAGTCAGCAGATAATCACCAAGGGTTGGTGGTGCTTCACCCAAAACTACAGTTCTGTTTACTACAACATTTTCATGCCTTTCAAATTTTAAAACAACTTTATTAGGCAGACCTAGCCGAGCGTCAGTTACTTCAGCTACTTCCAACGTCTCACATATTTCAGCATGAGGAAGCAGAAGTTCATTTATGTGGTTGACGATAGTTTGGGAAGCATTAACTACCATTATGTCACTTACATTTACTTTTTCGAAGTTATTGCAAGGACACCAATGTTCCAGAATATTGGCGTCAGCGCAAGTTCTGTTTTCTGGAATTTTTTCCAGCAGGCTCAAACCATGCTCTTCAGGCTCTCGATCCATTTTTGAATCAAGGTGAAGTAAATGTTTCATGGTACGATGGAGATCAAATAAAGTGATTAACCTCTCTTGATTTATTTTGAGATTTCTCTCAAATTCAGGATGCTGCTTAAGGAACCATGTCGGGAAGTGTATGTACATAAAAGGCATTCTTTCTTCAAATTTGCCAACATATGTGTGTCTTATTGCACCGAATCTCAAACCATGATCACTGAATATAACTAAAGCACTATTATTCAGTGCTCCTATATCTGATAGTATTTGGAGTATCCTAGTTGCTGGTGGATCAGCGTAGCTAGCACTATTTAGATAATCATGGGTAAGAGTAGACACCATACAAAATGCCCAATACGGTCTTTTATCCATGGTTTTAACAAAATTTTTCAAATAGTCATACATAAGATCAGTTTCTAACTCAGCATTTAAGCAGTCATCGAGATGTGCATTTTTGGCTTGCTTCCTCAAATCTGACTGGTCAATTGCTAGTGCAAGTGGTCTATAGTAATAATCGGTTGGCGGATCGTGAAAGCCCCTTTTGATGTAATTAAAAGTACCAGAAAATGGTGAATCTTCAGCATAAAATGTTCTAAATCCATTTCTGGCGTAATCTTTCCAAATCAAGCTGATATTGTCAAATAGAAACGTGTCTCGAACTGATTCATTCCAATAATATTCTACAAAATGTCCCGTCAGCATAGGTACTAAATTAGGAAATGTATTGTCTCCAACTTTCGTATAACCTTTCATTTCGAAGGGCTTCATTTTGTCTTTTAGAAAGGCTTTAGTTTTTAGAAAATGTCTTATAAAATTCAATTTTGAAACTGAGTCAATTCCAAGGAGAATGACATTCAGGGGAGAAGGGGGTTTGATTTTTGATCTTTCCTCTTCTACTTCTGTTTTCAACTTGACCAGGGGCAGGTATTGCTCATGTGTGTAATTGTTACTGAAATAGCATCTAGCTGCAATGTACTCATGTTTCAAGGGTTTATCGAATTCTAGCTCTGCAACTTTAGTTGTTCTATAGTCATTTTCTCTGACATTGCCTGGCTCTTCGTGTTTTCGTAATATAGCCTGATACCAACATTGAATATCATCTGGTGTGGAATTGTAATATTGCTTCAATATTGAAACATTGAGGTGAATGATACCATTAGGTTGGGGAGTCATAAATAAAGGTATATCGGAGCAGATATATTCGCCTTTAAGGCTTATAAGATGAGCCACTGTCGGATCATAAGGATCTAATTTTGGTACTTTACAACCTGAGGTATCTATTATCAAAGCTGGATTTTTAGTTGGATCAACGGCCGGCAAAGCATCAGTAGATGATATATGGGAGACTTCGGTAGGAGAAAGCTTTTCCCGACTTTTAGGAACAGGCCCTGTGGTTCCGGCTTGTTCCGGTGGAGCTTTGGTTACACCACCGTCTGTAACTGCAGGGACAGACTGGACTTCAATATCATTTACTGACTGGGCATCTTTTGTAGAATGGTAAGGTTCTGTTACAGCTTTGTGAATTAAACCTTTTATTTGTTGAATATCGTTGTCATCGTCTGTAGGACCAGAAACAGCATCCTCTGGAAAAGTCACGCGTGATTTGAAAAATAAATCCTCTGGAGGAACTTTAGCTTTTCTGAATTGCTGTAGACGTAATAATTTTTTTTTACGATCAATTTCAGATTCTTCTGTATTGGTAGTGTCTTCATTGGGTAAAACTATTTTAGATTCCGGTATATTCTTTGTATCGTCAGCTTCTTTTTCTGACTTCTTATTTTCAATATCTTGGTGGTCAATGAATGTAGTATCTTCATTAATTTCTGTGACGACGCTTAAATTGCTTGGGATATCTCTTTTGATGTACAGACTAAACACAAGATATGATAGGCAGCAAAATATTATCAGAAACACAAACCGACGACGTCGTGATACAGCACCCAGCATTTTGAATAATTTGTAGGTGCAGGTGTTGTAAATGGAATCTAAAAAAAGAAAAATATGTTTAAGTTTAAAAAAAAACATTAATTTTACATAAAAGTTAGCTGTGTGTAGTGTAAATTTTGAAATGAAGATAATCTATATTTGTTTTTAAGCATAATTTTTTTCAGTAAATATTTTTTTCACTGGAAGAGTAAATAAGTGTTTCACGCAAATTATAATATTTAGTTTATGATTTGCTGGTACAGCGAATCACTTGTAACAATAAATATACAGCTAGTGTTGCGTAACTTCGTTCAATTGATTGAAATTTCCCAATCGCTACTCAATCGTAGTTTTGGCCAAAAAATTGGAAAAAGAGATTTTGAGAAAGTTCTTTTATAGATAGTTAAGAGCTCAGGGCATATATAGGCAACTGAGTTAAGTGTATTTGATCTCTATGAACAAACTCTGACTGATGGAAATTTAGTAAACAAAGCTTGCCATTACTACATTCTAGATGAAAGTGAAGTGCTACTTAATATTCTTCTTGATAAAAATATGTGGGGAAATATTTACTTTTATTCTAAGAAAGTAGGAAGAAAAGTGGACTGAATGTCAAACCTGTTATATTTATTGGTTTCAGGAATAGTGAAATGAGGACCAAGTTTACAAGCACTCAAATAGTGATTTTTGGAAGTTATTTTGTGGATACACCTCTGTCCCACACTCCACGCTCATTCTCCTAACAATGTGCCTATCCTTTCCACATTGAAAACCGTCAGAAATAGTTTATATGTCAGTTTGTTTGGTACGTATGTTAAATAAATTTGATATATAAGTTTGGTATGCTTCTGTTGTAAACATTGTTTTTCACTAAATGTATATAGTATCATTGAGGCAGGTTCACTGGTTTCTTTTATTTCTATTTTGTTATATTTTTAGGAAAATTAATAACTATGCCCAATTTCTTTCTTACCAGATTTGTAACAGAACTATGTTTAAAACTCACATCGTCAAGTAAAATTTTTTATACACTGCTTGCCACTTATTAATTTTTAAGCACCCCTGTTATTTAATTTAAATTTTGTCTTGAACCAGTTTCCAGAATAATGCGTGATCATCTCAGTAAGTTGTACAAAACGAAATTTTAGAGCAATATTTCAATCGTTTCATACTATGTTCCACAAAATGCACATCATAGTTACATTTTCCTGAATCATTCATATTGCATTAGAGGCATAAGTATTCTGTAGAAATGATTTGTAGGAGGTGATTCATTATTGCTACTGGAATAACATTGTATCTAAAAATTTAGACAATCTGACGGATGCCAATGGCAGTGAGCGTGTGGGATGTTGATCACATTGTAAAAATTAAGTACCGGAACTTTGAGTGCTTCATATGTAAAATCCATTTTACAGCCAAAATCCATTTTCACCGCGAAATATTATACCGTAATGTTTATAGTAATAATTACCGTAAAATAACTGAATCATTCTAATTAAAAAATAACTGAATCATTCTAATTAAATGAACCTTACAATATGATAATTATTTAATTAGAATGATTCAGTTATTTTACGGTAATTATTACTGTAAACATTACGTTATTTCAGATTTTTCGTTCCGTAATATGTTCCAGTTAAAATGGATATTACAGTAGAAAGTACCGGCACCCTTTTTGCCGTAAAATCCAAAAGAAGTACAGGCACCCTAAGTGCCGGTACTTTTCACTTTTCCGTAATTTGACCCTTAATTTCTTACATTGTGCTTCTCAAAGCTTCATTTCTCATTAAAATTAACATTATTACTGTTTTTTTTAATATGCATTTAAGTATTTTCTCTAATAATTTTATATTTAATATTTTATAATTTACTATTCCATAATTTTATAGTTTAATATTTTATAATTTAATATTCGATAATTTTTATATTTTATCTTTTTTACTTACTTTCAATATGAATAAATAACTAATATTACTTTTCCATGATAAGGCTTCGTTTTAAAGCTTATATTGCAAATATACACTTTAAAATACAATTAACATTACTATTAATTTTTATTTGCATTTAAATATTTTCTCTAATAATTTTATATTTAATATTTTATAATTTACTATTCCATAATTTTATAGTTTAATATTTTATAATTTAATATTCGATAACTTTTATATTTTATCTTTTTTACTTACTTTCAATATGAATAAACAACTAATATTACTTTTCCATGATAAGGCTTCGTTTTAAAGCTTATATTGCAAATATACACTTTAAAATACAATTGACATTACTATTAATTTTTATTTACATTTAATTATTTTCTCAAATAATTTAATATTCAATGTCTTCTAATTTAATATTTTCTCTTTTTTATTTACAATTAATATGAATAAACAACTAAAATGACCTATCTATTATAACGGCGTTTAAGTCTACAAGTACAATACAAATCTATTTAGAAAGAATCTTGTAAATCACATTTTGCAGAGTATAGCAAATTAAAATATTTAAAATACCTTACTTAGATTAATGGACAGATCTCAGCCACGAGCATTCAATTAAATGTATAACGCAATGTAATAAATATACTGATGGAAAAAAAATCCCAACAACAGGAAACAATTATTGTAGAGCAATGAAATTTCGGCAGTACCTTGAAGTGTAAAATTACCAAGGATACCAAAACTTTTAATGAGATTGGTTTAATTCGAAAAGGAGCTTTGTAAACAGCATTCTGAATTTACGCATTTTGAATCTGATTTAAAATATAACTTAACATGTTTTTCCACTTAGCTCGTCCATTGAATTAAAGGGGTTAAATGTTTTATTGTGTTTTTGTTATCGAGGTAAAAGTACAAGTTCTTGTACTTTAAATACATCAAAAATAAAAATATATTAAATATAAAGACAAACTGTATAACAATTCTTGATAGATAATCCAATTTTGAAGAAACTATGTTATTTTCTCCATAAAGCTGAAAGAATTCCACGTGAATAACCTCGCAATTGTATTGTAAATAAAAATAAAATATTATAAAACAGTTGCACGGCTAATATTAAAGGATAATTAGGAAAAATATATGCAAAAAAATTACACGACAAAAGTAAGTTATGATTAGAAAGAGAACAAAAAAGTGTGAAAAACAAGATGTGAATAAGATACGGAAAATAACAATGTAGAATTTTTACATAAGGTAATTAAGTTCTAGTTAAATGAAAATAGCTGCGATAGGTAACTAAAAAATATGATTAAATAAGATACCTGAAAATAATAATTTCTATAAAACCTTAAAGTAAATAAATTGCATGAAACGAATATGTTATAATTTAAAAAAAGAATAAAATAATAAAAACTATGAATAGAAAGCCGTAAAGGAACTAAATATTCAGAGAAATGTAATTATAATGGAAATTTTAAGCAAATTAATTGTATAAGTTTGTTGCATAAAACAGAAAACTTTGTAATTAAATAATAATAATTAAGTAGTGTGAATAGGAAGAAGTGATAAAATAATATATCTGGAAAAAATAATTAGAATTTAAAATTTAAATAAGTAAATCACATGTGACTATAACTATTGCTTATAATTAATAATTATTATTAATAAGTTTTAACTGATTAGTAAACAACAAACTGTGAATAGGATGATTCAAGGAAATAAATAATTGCAGAAAAATAATTAGAATGTAAAATGTAAGTAAGCTAATCACATAGGACAAGAAACTTTATAATTAAATAATTATAATCAAAAAAAAGTGAAGGGAAAAAATGTGACAAAATAATATATCCGGGAAAATAATTAGAATTTAAAATTAAAATAAATAAATCACATCTGACTATAATTATTACTTATAATTGATGATTATTATTAATAAGTTTTAGCAGAATAATAAACAACAAACTGATAATTGGAAAATGTAAGGAAATAAATAATAGGAGATAAATGATTATTATGTAAAATTTAAGGAAGTTAATTACATAAGACAGAAAACTTTATAATAAATAATAACAATACTCAACAAAGTGTGAATGGAAAGATATAATAAAATGACATATCGAAGAAAAATTATTAGATTTTAAAATTTGAACAAACTAATCACATGTGATAATAACTATTGCTTATTATAATTAATTATAATTAATAAGTTAAAACTGAATAATGAACAACAATTGAACGTGAATTTAAATGCATGATAAAATGAAATATAAGGGAAATAAATTATTATAGACAATTAAGTTTCAAATGAATAATAAACAAAAAAGTGCGAAAAAATGGTTTAAGTAAATAAATTATTGGAGACAAATAAGTTATCATTATTAAATAAACAACAAATGTGAATAGAAGTGTTTGATAAAATAAAGTACAGACGAAGAAAAAAATACAATCTAAAGTTTATTCAAGTAAATTACTCAAAATAAATAAGTTATAATTGAATAATAAACAACAACGTGTAAATAAAATGATATGATAAAATAAGATATCGGAGACACTAATTACAATGTAAATAAATTGCACGAGGAAAATAAATTATAATTAAATAATAAATAACAAAAGGTGAATAGACAAATGTGATAAAATAAGCTATTAGGGAAAAAGGGCATAATTTAGATGCATTCGAGTTTCGACTGTACTACAATAAGTATGCTATTAAAATCTTATGTATAGTAAGAAATATAACGATAAAATATTAAAAGTTGTAAAATAGGTTTTTAAAATGGACTTATCTGAAGCAGCGAATGCACACTGTAAGTATATAAATACAGTATACGTCTTGCGAAAAAGAAACTAAAAATACAGACTACCTTACCTTGCGAAAAATTTTGAACTGATTCCCCAGTCACTAAAACTGTCTGATCAAACATTACGAACTCTTAATATCAATAACATATTCATCATTCAAAACTAATTTTTCGTTTTAACATATTGCTGTAATAAAGACTGCTCTCCAAGATATGTCGAACGCACTCCTGCTTGCAAAGCGAAAATGTGTAAGTGATACGCAAGATGTTGAATGCGACGTCATTTCTATTCTCTGAGTAATTTGAGAGTAAGTGCATGAATATTATATGATCTGACACGCCGATCTGAACAATGAATAAGAAAAAATAGAGAGAAAACATTAAACGTGACAAACTTGGCTATCTGATGATTTTTACTATGAAGAGTTCATTGATTGTAGACGTATATTGAAATAATGATCAATATTGTTAAAATTAATTGGGTTAATTATAAACTACAACTAAGAATTAAGCATAATTTTTAATAAAGAATTTTAAGTGAGCATTTCGCTTGAATAAGTGATTAAATGTAAAATTTTCATATATGATTCTTAAAATGAAATAATTTTACACTATTATAATGAACAAATTAAATATTTATTGCTGTTACTGGACAGAAATTTTCTGAAGGATATGTAATGAGATCTGCTTTAAAGAGCTCATTGATTGTAGACGAATTATGAAGTAATGATCAATACAGTTAAAAATAATTGCGTTCATTATAAGTTACAACTAAGCATTGAGTATAACTTTTTAATAAGTGATTGCAGGTTTTTTTAATAAAGGATTGTAGGTGAATATTTTGCTTGAATAAGTGATCAAATGTAAAATTTTCATATATGATTCTTAAAATGAAGTAATTTCACACCATTATAATGAACAAATTAAATATTTATTTCTGTTACTGGACAGACATTTTCTGAAGGATATGTGATGAGATTTACTTTAAAGAGCTCATTGATTGTAGACGCATGTTGAAGTAATGATAATTACCGTTAAAAATACTTGAGTTAATGTTATATGTTACAACTGAGCATTGAGCATTTTTTTTATGATAAGTGATTATAGGGGAGCATATCTTTTTAACAAGTGATTAAGTATAAAAATTTCTAGATAGAATTATTCGAAAATTGAATGATTGTTCAAATGAAATAATTTTACACTATTATAGAGAAATAATTAAATAATTATTATTGCTACTGAAAAGAAATTGTCTGAAGAATATTTAATGAAATTTACTTAGAAGAGCTCATCATTGATTGTAGATGTATATTTAAGTAATAATCAATGCTGTTAAAAGTATTTGAGTAAATTACAGGTTACAACTTTGCATTTTTATATGTAGTTGAGCATATTTTTTCTAAAGGTGCTCAAGTGTAAAATTTTTACTATAGAAATATTTGAGAATTAAATGTTTGTAAAAACTAAATAATTTTACTCTTTTGTAATGAAATATATGAACATTCATTACTACTAGTAAAGAGAAATTGTCTGAAGGTTATATGATGAGATTTTATTCAAAGATCTCACTGAACGCATACGTAAAATATAGTTATGATATAGTAATGAAGATAATTAAATATTTATTTTTTTTCTTCAGAGAAGTGAAATCGTCTGAAGATTATAAGATGATATTTACAATGAAAAGCTGTTTCATTGCAGTAATGATCAATACTGTTAAAAGTAGTTCAGTTAATTATAAGTTACAACTAAGCATTTTCAAATCTAGGTGAGCATACTTATTTTTTTTTTAATAAAAGTGCTTAAATGTAAAAGAAAATTATTTTAAGATTAAATATATGTTGCCACCAAAAAAAAAATATCTTAATGATGAGATCTACTATGAAGAGCTCCATAACTGAAGTTTACTGTAAGAATAATTAATGCTATTAAAATTTATAGAGTTAATATGTTACAGTAATGTTTAATATCATTATTATCATTTAGCATTAAATTTGGATTTGCAATTTTACAAATAAGAATTTTAATAGCTTGGGGAGCCTAACAATTTTTTTAAAAAAAGTGCTAAATTGTTTCATTTCAACAATAAAAATGCTTGAAAATCATTAATTGATTCCACCAGTTTTAGATTAAACTTTATTACAAATAATTGATAAAGTGAATTACGAAATAATCAGTATTTCAATTAAAAAGATATTGTTCGAAGGCTATGTAATAAGATTTATTAAGAAAGAACATTGATTGTAGCTATTGTTTTGTAGTCAGGAAAAATATTGTTGAAATTTATTGAAGTTATTACAATTTAATGTTTACCATTTCACTAGATAGGTGAGTACAATCTGTTTTAAGCAATGGTAACTATGGTAACTTTTAAGCAATGGTCTTATAGAAAGTTTATAATAATGAAATATTCAAATTATAAATTAGTTGAAAAACGAAATTTAAATTTGATATTTGAGCATATTTTTTGCTGAGAAAAATAGTTATATAAATTTATTATTAACGGAAGTATATTTCTATGATATTATTATCAAAAGTATTGAAATATGTGTTTTTGCTTATATCCAGACAGAAATATTTTACAGAAATAAATATCAAAAGTATTGAAATATATGTTTTCGTTTATGGTTAAATCGTTTATGGTTACACATGGTTAAATTCAATAGCAAAATGGCTAAAAAAAATTTTTTTTTCTGACAACATGAAGTTTTTTCTTATAGAATTTATGGTAAGTATGTTTTTTAAATAAATAATGATGAGAAGTTACTCTATCTAACGAATAGTTTTTTTAAAATATTACTGCAGATTATTACAATGCAACATAATTGTATTATATTTCCAAAAGTATCATTAACTGTTATTAAAATTTGAAAAACCGAGCATGAAATGATAATGTCAACAATTTATGTTTTGCACATCCCCAAGACATTCTATAGAACAACTATTGAAAAGCCTTTATGCATTCTATAAAATGGCTATGCAAAGAATGTATTTATTCATCTATTTTTACTTTGCCTGTGAATGCCAGGCATTCTACACAATCACTAGGCTTTCTATAGAAAGCTGTGATTTCATACAGTGATAGTAACATCTGAAATTAAAAATGTGATCATAACAGAACTAATATTTGAAATAAATAGATATAAATATTTATATTTTCATAGGATAGATAACTGTGAAATAAGAAAGAGGAAATAATTATATTTCACTTTTTTATTGATTTTCTGCATGCAAAATAGATTATAAAGGATCATTCATAAAAAACGAACTAAATTAATTACCTTTTTATAGCTTTTAGATTCAGAAGAAGATCTGCTTTTGGATTACTGGTGTTGCAGAGAATCCAAGATTTAGGCTTGAGTCACAACCTTTTTTCATTGCTGCCCATAGAAAATATATTATGGGTGGCAGAGATTGAGCGTAGTCTTCAAAAAGAGCGACAGTTTCTACCAAACATCCGCAAAACGTGTTCTACATTAGCCTTATGTCCACAAATAATTTTGATAAAATCTTTCCATTTTGATTGCCTTACCTAATAATAACATTTATGATATAAGTTTCAATAAATTGGATGATTTTATCATTGTTATGCACGTGTAAGTGCTACTGAAGAAATCGCTTTTAAAACAAGTTCATAGTTATGAAGTTATAAAAATGAAAACGATATTTGATGTATGATATTAAAAATATCTTTTTCTATTTCGGAGAATTTTTTTCTTTTATTGTTAAAGTAATAAGCATTCTATATTATGAAATTTTTTAATAACAAACATTTCTTGATATGATATATTTTCTTTCATTAAAATAATAGAGATTTAAAAGTAGGGAAAAGAAATGCTTTCTAAGCACAACGATTTTATTTATAAGTGTTGGAAGCCATTTTAAAAATGATTTTTATAAAAATCTTTTTACCCACTTTTTTAAAAAAAAATAATGACAACTGGGAAAAAAGGGAGATACTTTTTGTACATATCATTTTATACAGAAATATTCTTGAAATCAAGTTCTTGTCACGATAAAGTTACTATGCATTCATCTTAAATATGAATATTTAACTTAAAATACATTAAAATTAGTTCTAATATTTAGTACACTTAAAAATCCACATTTATGTATGCATTTATAAGTAATTTTCAAGGTAAATATGTTGACAACTGCTCTTCTTTTGCGGTTAAGAATGCCCTTAAAATGAATCATTAGTTAAGCAGTATCATTATTATTCCTACTAAGTTGTAGCATATTATATGTCGTCATAAGTTCAATGATCTCTTAAGCTGTATTATTCTACTAAGATCAATCACGTGTTTTATTGCCATATGTCGTAACACATTAACCTGAAATCAAACGAGATAACAAGCCGATTGTTGACCAAGGGATTCATGGCGGTAAAGTTGCCATAGTTCCGAGACCAACTGCTTGATGTTGAAAATGTGGTCTGAATTGCGTACCGGCCTTTTATTATTTTCCAGACAGGATGGCACCCATCAATTTGAGGTTGGGTAGACCTCAAGTCGCCATAAGGGTTCCACACCGAAACACTGGTTCTTCATAATGACAGTTCAATATGTTAGCAGCTGCCATAACTCGACTCAATCATGCACTCAATCTAAATGCTGTAGTTATTACGGTACATTATTACACCGGTGGTTGTCTTATAATTTCCTTAAGTATACTATAAGGAAATATACTATAAGGAAACGGATTATGTAGTGGTCAGGGAACTGACCTTATATCAGAAATGTCTTGGGTTCGAATCCCGGAAAAGGCATGGATGTTCTTTCATTTTTTGAACTATCTATCCTTACTGTGGGAGCAACGTTGATATGGTGCCCCTGAAGGAATGGCCAACAAATTCGCCCAAAGAATGCCGACGAGAGTGTCCATCGGGTGGGCATTGAAAAAGAACTACACGAAAATACTTTATTATAGTATACTTAAGGATACCTGCTGACCGGACTCGTCCCTTGGCTGGGGTGGAGCCGGACCAGTAGCCAAGCTTTGGGCTATATGGTAAAGGGTCCATGACGACCTAGGTACATGTCCAAAGCTTGGAGAAAAGAAAAAAGTATACTTGAGGAATTATTTTTGTCTTAATTATATATTATAAGGCAAAATTACTTGATTGAATTTTGAAATTTTAACCCAAAAGATTTTCGAAAGTAAGATTTTTAATTAAAAATAACTAAACAACAACAAATTTATATTTTCATAGATTTATCAGTATCTAGAACAATTTATTGTAAGTAAACGTTTAAAAAAACGCCTAAATGAATTTTATTCTTTAATAAAACTAACTATAAAAACACTTTTAAGACATTCAACAGAAAGTGATATTATTACTTAATGATTTGGAAAAACCTTTCACTATTTTAGTAAAAGTAAAAATTACCTTAAAATGAAAGTCACTCATAGCAAGTAACACTATCGGTCGGAACGTAATTAAACTATTCTTAGTCGTGTCTGCTAAGCGGTTTGCAGTAACGGATGAGTTCACAATCAGTTCGAGAAGGTACTAAATGAACTTCGTCGTTTTATTATTTTTAAAACTGATATTTCCGAGGCGCCATGCTTCAACGAATTTCGATTAAATATTTCTAACCTGGCTTTTACAAGTTTAACACTCCTACAGGATAAAATTTCCCATTGGTAGTTTTTATAATAAAACTAAAGATCGAAAGTGAATGAAGGAAAATGAAAAAAATAATAATAAATATTATTTTGTAAGCAATGATTTAGTGTGATCTTTTTCCTGCCTTAAATGAAGCCAAAGTAGCCTGTAAGACAAGTTTTTTCTTCAATTCCTACAATTAATTCACACTCTCCTTATATATATTTATGTATCTTATTTAAATTTTCAATCGTTAATAAAATGCTTTTTATTCATAAACTCAAGTTCAAATACATTTTTTAATCCTGTAGTGGATAAGACGTGATGTTAATACAGTTTTTTTCAAATAATTAATTTATTACTTAAATTTAATTAATTTGAATTATTAAATTCGTGCATTATAGAATTAATTAAATTTAATTAATTTAATTTCATAATGGAGAAAAAAATTTCTCTTATATTTTGCCACTGAATATTGCGATTCTGTCATGTGTATATACATATTTATACAGGGTTATGCATAATTCCCTCCGCCTGTAAGAGCCATTTTTCTTTACAACAACTGGCTTCAGTGGTACATGTTACTGCCATCTACCGGCAACTGCTTAAATTAAAACTTGAATACTTTCGGAATAATTTCATATGTTCTTTTTTGCCATTTTCGTCTTCGTTTTTTACTATAACGCTTCGAAACCCCGGGGGGAATTATGAATAATCCTGTATTAATTGTAATCATTTAATAAAAAGTAGTTAAAATATAATTTTTCCTTGTTGACTTAAGTAGGAATTCCATTTATGTTACTTGTTATAAAGAATTACATAATTAAATCAATGCCTTGACCACTGAGCTACTGTAGTTCTAGTTAAGGTTTTTATACAAGTTAAATTACAGTGATTATATTTGAAGAATTTCTAAACATATATAACATAAGAAACATAAACTTTTTTTTAACAGTGTTTACGCAATACTGTTGTCATCTGAATTCATAATAAAACTGTTATCATTCGAAAAGAAAAGCTATCCTTTTATCTTTAGAAGATAAAAATTTAAGAGCAATCAGCCTAATTTCGAAATTCTAAGCTTAAGATAGTAGAATTAAATAACTGTAATTCGAATAAAGTTGATATTTTCTTTCCTCTTTCAAAATTATAAATATATTTATATCATATATAAATAACTAAAAATGCTTAATTACATAAAACTCTTAATGCACAAATCTCATTCCTTAATAAAAATTTACTTCCCAATGAAATTGGTGTAAGATATGTCACTCCAAGTAACAGGAATATGTGTCATCAACAATGGTGATTGTACCTAACAAATGGCTATTTACACTGAAACGGATATTTTTACAAATGTTTCATGAAAAATATTCAAAAAATTACATTGTTAATGTACAGTGCGCCGAAAAAAACGGATTACCCTGAATAACTTTTGATCTAATGATCAGATCTTCACGTTCTTGGACTCAAACATGATGGTTCGAGGGGCTGACCTCGAATATGCTAATTTATTAGTGTAGGCGATATTGCAAGTTGCGAAATCAGAATAAAAAAGTCCTCGATTTCACAGGAACTATTCAACCGGTTTCACACAAATTCTATAATTTATGTCATGTAAACCTAAATACTTTAAAATGATGTTAGAAAATTTTATATCTTGCAATTCAAAATTGTTTCAAATATTATTAAATAAAATAATTAAAATATTTACTAAAATTAATTTTTGCACGGAATTATCTTTGAATAAACAAATTTTATAATTGTACGTAAAATTTTCTTAATTCGTTTAAGAAGTTCTCGCGATATGGCGAAATACGCAAAACAAATTAACATTATGGACTCCAAACTTTGGATCGCTGTTTTGAACAAACTATTGGGGTCATATGTCCTAGATTGGGGCTACCCCTTATATTTCGGGGGTCAAAAATCCGAATCCATTGAAAGAAAAGTATATTTAATGAGATAAAGTATGTTTGTGCGTCTGAGTTCGTAACTTAAAATATGGTTAGAACTTAGTTCAAACTTGAATTCCAAACTTAGTGCAATTCTTACACACGAAATATTTTTAAATATTTCACCTGAACTTTATTATTTATTCCATTAGGCACTTGAAATTCATAAGTTTGATTAAATACTAAGAAAAAAACTAGAGTTTCAAAATGAAAAATAAAATAAATTAAATATTAATCTAATGTAAACTAAATATTAAACTAGTTACATAATAAACCATATTCGAAAATTAAACTTTAATCTTCTCAGTAACATAATTTTCAAAACTGTTATAATATAAATTGATATTTTTATGCATATATAAAAGAATTCAGGGGATAATTAACATAGCATTTATCCTTGAATTACTTCTGAACTATGTTTGAGTTTTAGTTATTTTTATGAAATGAAGTATTAAATTCAGATTAATAAAAATTGTTTAAGAATAAAACCTTCATACTTTCTGTTTCAATTTTCCATAAATTGCAATCTAACATTTAGAACAATTCGAAACTAAAAGGTCTCGAAATGTTTCATTTCTTTTAAAAATAATATCTCAATAGAAAAGAAAAATGCAAACTTTGATAAAAAAAAACGATTGTTTTAATGACTTTATTTAGGAATCATTTTCTAATTTTCAGCTTTAAATATTTTTGTAGGATAAAACAAACATACTAAAATCGTCATTAGATGAAAAAAAAATATTTCTCATCATGAACTGTAAGTGGCAAAAACATTTGAAATCTTATAGAAAGCATGAATGCTTAGTTTTCTATATTATAACATTGAGAAAGCAATGGTTTCAGTTATTGTTAACTAGAGAATAAGTAAATGAGCAATAAAAAATATTAAAAAATACATGAATCATACATGTATGTTATGATACATGTATGATACATGTGTGTACATGTATGATCATACATGTATCATACATGTACGAACATGCAGTAAGTGCAAGGGTCATTACTTAAATTATTAGGAAAAGTATTATTCTAAAATTTTTTTAAATATATTTTTTAGAAGTCGTTAAGTTAATTTTTGTAAAACTAATTAGTATCTAATAGTTTAATAATCGATAATTACCATAAAATCCACAAGG